TATAATGACAAAGCCAATGATATAGGCCAAAAAAGATCTGAAACATCGGTACAAAGAATTAACTTGTTATGCATAAAAAAGTGCCATGTATTCATGTTCTAACAACTACTAAATGCCTCTCAAATACTTCATGTTCCAAAGTGCACTTGTTCATAAACTCTTGACACAGTTAGTGGGCAACATTTCCAGAGAACACCGGTCAATGTATTGACATCGGTATCGGGAGCTTAAAGGAGGGGGTAAGTGGAGAGTTTACCAGACGGATTAAACGGAATCGATAAACTAATTGTCACAGGACTGCACTTTTTTGTGTGTCACAAAATGTATGATATTATCACTGGCACCCGGTCTCTAAACATTAAGATCGTCTGACAAACCTTGAACATCATGGTTTGAAAAGGTTTGCTGTTGAAAGCCAAAGTCAGTGTTGGAAAAGTATAACATGATATTAACGAATAAGACAACGTTTATTGTTATCGTACCACTATCAACATATATCTCTTAACGTGGGACGCTGTTGCGTGCTTTAGGCATGTCTTAAATCTATAATTATGGGTTCGAATCCAAGATTATTTCTGATGATGTTTCTAGTTTTGTCAGCACCACACGCATGGTGTTGTAAATGTCTGAGACATGTATCAAATTTCCTCCCATATCAATCTGACACGCCGTGATATTTACTGAAATACATTTCAACGCGTCGCGACCCACTCAAGCACTCTATGCTAAATGTGTGTATTCACATCACGACAGAATGGGGTTTACAGCCATGGCCAAAGCCACTCAGCGTCGGGGTACGATGATAAACACGCCCTACATTATTTTTTTACTTGCTGTAACTTTACTCAGATAAGACTTAATATGCACTTTTACACAACCATTTATAACCTGGATACTATTATGAACGGAAACAATGAACTTGCTCACTCTGAAAACCAGAAATTAGTTGAATCCGTCCACGATTTCATCGATTTCAGCTCTTCACAAATTAATAATTAAATTAACCGGACAATAACCTCATGATTGACTATTACTTTTGTTACAAACGACTTGTTAGACACACACAAGCTGTAACCTTCTATTTATGTTCACTTTGTATTTGTATTTGATGTAATATATACAAACATATTATTCAAATAATGTCTATATCGATGACGTCACATCTTTCATTTCAATATGTAATATATGTTGTATAGGAGCGGTGTTAACATAAGCTGTAAAGCTTGTTCACCAATCCCAACTCATTTTAATGAATAAAAATATGTTTAAACCATAAACACTCCACCAAGTTACACATTGCACCATCCGATCCCCGTCTGAGGCGACTCTGATAACAGGCACACACTTGTCAAACAACAGGTGCATATATATCATGCACACACCAGCAACACAACAGATGCATATATATCATGCACACACCAGCAACACAACAGGTGCATATATATCATAAACACACCAGCAACACAACAGATGCATATATATCACGCACACAGCGAGCTCGAGGTATGGACTCATTGTCCACTTCAGGGGCACAACTGATACATACATTGTGTATGTAGTACGCACACACCATGACCACAACAGATGCATGCCGCGCACGCAGCAGACACAACCCTATACACGGACATCACGCACTCAGAAGACACAACATATGTATTGACATCACGCACACATTAGACACAACAGGTGGGTAGACATCACGCACAACATATACACGGACATAACGCACACATCAGACACAACATATGTATTGACATCACGCACACATCAGACACAACAGGTGCGTAGACATCACGCACGCAGCATACACAACATATATACGGACATCACGCACTCAGAAGACACAACATATGTATTGACATCACGCACACAGCAGACACAACAGGTGCGTATACATCACGCAAAACATATAAACGGACATTACGCACTCAGAAGACACAACATATGTATGGACATCACGCACGCAGCAGACACAACATATTATGGACATCACGCACGCAGCAGACACAACAGGTAAGGGGCACGTAGGGCACAACAGATTCATGGGCGCCACATCAGACACAAAACAGACACGTGGGCACCATGCACACATTAGACACAGCAGGTACACGGGCAACACGCGCACATAAGGCGAACAACAGATGCATTGACACAACAGAGGTATAGACACCGCGCACACTTCAGACACAACATGTACTCATAAGACACAAACAGGCGTCACTTATTGTTATTAATCATATGATGGGGCTATAATACACTGCGTGATCGAGGATGCACACCCGTATCTATCAGACCTAAATTAGTCAATAATCCCCTGTGACATATCCACGGGGAGGTTTCAAGTAACAGGTACACTCATTAACCCTCACTGACACTCATTGCCCGTGCAGCACGCGGGTATCGATCTGTCAGCACATCCGCAGACATGGAGCCCCATTACCAGGAGTCGTGATGTGGTCGAGGACGACACCATTACCGTGTATTGATGGTGCGCATGTTTTTGGTAAATAAACCCCGCAGCTAAAGTACTTTCAATCAAGTAAATGTGCAGTTCCTATCGATACCGAATTGAATCGTATTACTAAATCCAGAACACAAGAACACGTCCCTTTGCAAACATCATGGACGGGTTTGTCCAAATTAAAATTTAACAATGTTTGTCCGGACTACATCCGACATTCAAGCCACTTGATTTTTTTATTTCTTTTACATGTTTGCATGAAAAGTAAATCGAGAAAACGAATATAATTTTTTTAATTTTTTTTGTCCAAAGACGGAGCAAGGGCTGCGCGGGCGCTGCAATTCGTTGTTCAGGGCTTTATGCATGCCAGAACTATGTGTATTCGAATCCACAATTTGCTCTGATTTTAATTTTTGGTTTGTCATCACCATACCCGTGCTCGTGATTTTTAATCAGAGTGAAAGTCGCCTAAGACCCGCGCCCTTCCTTGCACATTTAGATGATGTTCAAACTGACGTAAAAGGGCGTAAACAGGCGTAAAACACACTCATTATACCAAGATATTTGTTCAGTACAAAAATGAGTATTCTGATTAAGTGGCGGTTGGTGACATTTTGACATACGTCAAACACCTGCACGAAGTTTTTTCAACAGAAACTACAAGCCGTCATTTTACTGATAACTGGAAGAAACTGGAAAAAATATCAATGTTGTTTAGGAATGAGATTAGCGGATTGTAACGAGTTGGATGATTAGACATTGAGAATGCTATTTCCTATTTACATTCAATTGTATTATAGTGTATTGAAATACGCTAATGTCATACGTATTTGATATCATTTCTTAATTCGTTATCATATCCATAACACGGAATCGCTAAAATAACTGTCACAGTTCTGTACTGTTTTTGTGTTACAAACTGTATGGTATTATAACTGGCACCGGGTCTATACACCTGTAACATCATCTGAAAAACCTTCAACGGTCCAGTGAGTTTGGTTTTACGCCGCTTTTAGCAATATTCCAGCAATATCACGGCGGGGGACACCAGAAATGGGCTTCACACATAGTACCCATGTCGGGAATCGAACCCGGATCTTCGGCGTGACGAGCGAACGCTTTAACCACGAGGCTACCCGACCGTCCCAACGGTCCAGTGAAGTTGGATAGTTTGGTTGTGGAAGGCCGAAGTCAATTGGCTTCATACCTTGTACCTTTTGGGGAATCGAACCCGGGACTTTGATGTGACTCCTTGACCACTGGGCTACCCTACCACCCCTCTTATAGGTATGATGCTGAAAAAAAAGACAGAATCAGACGAATCTGGGATTCGAACACAGGTTTCCGCCACGCATAAGGGATACCACTCTATCCGTCGAATTGTTGTCAGACCGCCTCCCTGGTCTAGAGGAAGGTTCGGGGTTCGATCCCCGGCCGCGTCATACAAAAAGACGTTAAAAGATGGTACTTGTTGATACCCTGTCTGGCGCTCGGCATTAAGGGGCTAAAGCAAGGACTGGTCGGCTCGGAGTCAGTATACTGTCGCTGAGTGGGGTATTCATGTTAAACTGCGGCATGACATCTCAGTGAGCTAGCACTATAAATCGGCATCAGTCCGCACTAGTACAAGCAGCCACACACACACACACGCACACGCACACGCACGCACACACACACACACACACACACACACACACACACGTACGCACGCACGCACGCACGCACGCGCACACGCACACACACACACACACACACACACATACACGTGCATGACCGTCGCTTTAAACGTTAAACCCAATTTCACCTCACCTACAGTCCACTGATTAGAAGAGATCACAACGAATCGCATGTGTTGAACAGACTGTACTGTATATTAACTGTATTGGGTACTCTACTTTTGAATAAACGTCAAACGTTGATTAATCAAACACCGTCAATTCAAACATTATCACATACTTCATACAGGATGTAGTTTAATCAATAAACAATAGTTCTTACCGATAGGTGTTCGTTTAATTCATCAGTAAAACATCATGGGAGTGATAACTACCTGCTCTGTGACGCTACATAATTAATGCTATGGGTCGAGTGTTCCGACAGTATTTCATCACTAGTAGCCTTAGCAACATGTCAACAGTCCATGGATCGCGTGTCTCTGGAGCCCCCAAAACACATTATGTCCTACTTATCTGCCCCATGATTGTTTCTGACAGCCTCAATTGTCACCAAACATCCAAGTCGGTTTATCAATCATCGTGTTGTCCCGATCAATTCCGACAAATACCGAATGGGCTTCGGGTGACTTCGGGTAGTGATGCGTGAAGCACGGTCAAACAAGCACTTTGATGGACGTAATGCTTTGACTGTGTCGTGGGATGCATGTTAATAAACGTTTATCGGCTTTAATTGATTTTCTAAAATCTGTTGACTTGTTCAGTAATGACACTAGTGCATTGCTTGATGGGTGCTTAGTAGATCGATGCGACACTACCGGAAGAGCCGCCTCTTTGGTGTAATCTCAGACAGCCTAGCACAGCCGCTGTGTGAGGAGAGATTTCATTGTCAACAGCTTAACGAAAACACGGAACAATCGCCCGACGGCCTTTCTCAAGATATTAATATATATAAGAGATTCTTACGGAACCTTTTGTCAACCAGAAGTACTTATTAATCTTTCTAACATTTACCATTTGAAATATATCAGCACAAAATGGAATACGTATATTACATGGAGCGGCGCCTGGTCGAATTGACGGGTCTCTGTTAAATCTTCTTAAAACAATCGGGTTAACCTAAGCAGGATAAAGGTGCATTTTGTGAAGTATCGGCGTCGATTGTCCCAGGGATATTCATGTGATCTGTGAAAAACCACAATTGCTACTTTGGTCCCTGTTGTGTCTCTGATCAATGGACAGCATCACTGAGTGTGATGCTTCACTGGCTTATTGATGTCATTTCAATCATTGCTGTATCACGTACCGAGGGAATCTACCACCACAAAGTCGCAAGTTGAGTTGCAAGCTTTGGTTATTCCCAGAAGAAGGCGAAAGAAGTGATTCAGAACGCATGCATTTTTCATCTGATACTATGCCACGTCCAGGTCAAAAGCTATGTGTTCTGGAGTTAAGTGCATTTTAAGGTCTGGAAAACTTTAAAATGAAAAACAGAAGAAATGTGATATGGCGTCTTAGAGAGGAAAGTTCATTGAACTTAGCGAAGAGGGCTAAATGAACTGGGCATCTAACGTGTGTAAATACAATTACTGGAATCAAGTGTTCATTACAGTTTGTGAACTATATTAGTTTCCTTGACAAGAATCATATCCAATTATTGTACTATGGAACAAGACTAAAAGGAGATTCGTATCGGAAACACTGCATACGTGAAAAAGTAGTGTCACTTTCGTTTTAATGGATCTTACTGTATGGTATATTTGTTGTTACGGACACTGATGTGGATTATGTGTGTTCATGGACACGTATTGTATGTGTCTTACAAATTGAAGCGGGCTAATACTTTGATTAACACGTGTCAAACCGGAGATATACATCAACCCTGACACATACTATGTCATGTACGTTAAACTTGTCACGTGATGTGTGTCACAACCGCTGGTCATGCGCTGTGTTTCGTATAATTTAGACTGGTCACGTATTGTGCGCCTTTTAAGTTAGACCGGACACATGCCGTGAGTCGTATACCAGACAGGTCAATTACTGTGTGTTAAAAAAATAAACTGGTCACGTACGATGTGTCGCAATGTGCGTTATTAGTTTTAAATCAGACACGTACCTTGCGTTGTAAGTGATAAATAAAATACGCCCTGTGCGTTATAAGTGATAACTCAGACACGTACGTTGCGTTGTTAGTGATAAATCAAACTCGCACTGTGCGTTATAAGTGATAAATCAAAAACGCACCTTGCGTTGTTGATGATAAATCAAACACGCTCTATGCGTTATAAGTGATAAATCAGACACGTACCATGCGCTGTTAGTGATAAATCAGACACGTACCTTGCGTTCTTAGTGATAAATCAAACAGGCACTGTGCGTTATAAGTGATAAATCAGACACGTACGTTGCGTTGAAGGAGATAAAGCGGACAGGCACCTTTCGTAATAAATGATAAATCGAAAAGGCACTGTGCTTGATACATGTTACATCATACTTGCAGTGTTACACACACATAATGTGTTTTATAAATGTTTCCTAAACATTACACGATAGAACGTTACATCTTAAACGTACAACGGACACGCATTGTAGATGATGCATTTTACAGTGGACACGCATTGTGGATATTATACCTCACAATGGACACGCAATGTACGTACTGTAAGTTACAGTGGGCGAGTGTTATGCAGAATGCGTGCAGTTCCAGATTTATTTGGCCAAATTAGTAAGATACTGGTGTTATAAACGCGGTTACACTGAAACATCGAAGTCAGTTTATAATGAAGTAATTTACAGGACCTCATTATATCGTGGCTTGAACGGATGCGTGTACAAACGCTCTCTCGTTTTAATGTCAAGTGTGATGATCAACAAGAGACGCCATGCCATGCTTGGTCACTACTCATGTCATCTGTTGCAAAATCACGAACTCAAGCGTAGAGTCTTAATTGGCTTGGAGTGGGATGCAGTCATATTGCAAACAGTTGACGGCGAGTCGCACCGTTACCAACAGCGTGCTTGTTACTGCGTAGAGAAGAATGCACTGCAAGTGCTGGAATAAGCGCTAAACAACGTTGAGAGGGATACATTGCAAGTGTCGGAATATGCGTTCGCAGACCTGAGTAGGATACGCTATAAGGGCCGGAATATGAGCTAAACGGGCTTGAGAAGGATACGTTTCAAGTGCCGGAATATGCGCTAAACAACGCTGAGAAGGATGCGTTGCAAGTGCCGGAATATGAGTTAAACGGACTTGAGAAGGATACGTTGCAAGTGCCGGAATATGAGTTAAACGGACTTGAGAAGGATGCGTTGCAAGTGCTCGAATATGAGTTAAACGGACTTGAGAAGGATACGTTGCAAGTGCCGGAATATGAGTTACACGGGCTTGAGTAGGATACGTTACAAGTGCCTGTATATGCGCTAAACGGGTTTGAGAAGGATACGTTGCAAGTGCCGGAATATGAGTTAAACGGACTTGAGAAGGATACGTTGCAAGTGCCGGAATATGAGTTAAACGGACTTGAGAAGGATACGTTGCAAGTGCCGGAATATGAGTTAAACGGACTTGAGGAGGATACGTTGGAAGTGCCGGAATATGAGTTACACGGACTTGAGAAGGATACGTTACAAGTGTCGGAATATGAGTTACACGGACTTGAGAAGGATACGTTACAAGTGCCGGAATATGAGTTAAACGGACTTGAGAAGGATACGTTACAAGTGCCGGAATATGAGTTACACGGGCTTGAGTAGGATACGTTACAAGTGCCTGAATATGCGGTAAACGGGATTGAGAAGGATAGATTTCAAGTCCCGAATTATGCGCTAAACGGAATACGTGCCAGGGGTTGGAGAAACAAGGTTCCTAGCTTTGACACAAAGGATACCAGTAATCCATAAATAGGAACACTTCATAACGCTGAGATTCGACACGCGACTTCTCATTTGCCGAGAAGTCACGCAAAGTGCTACGAGTTTCAAAGTGCTACGGGAAACGTTGCGCAGCACAGCGGTGTTGGAGCGTGTAGACAAGCTGACATTGTAGGCACTTGGAAGGGGGAGCTGTATCGCCAGGTTTTGTGTCCCTGGAGCCACACTGCGCAGTGTTTAAGAGCAAAGCAGTCAGTGGCCTATAAAACCCCAATCTATCGTCGTTGAGACTGAGGGGGTGAAATTTGACACCTCTAACGCTTCCGTTCTACTTTTATTGCCGAGTGGTAATTCAACAAAAAACGATTTTCACACAACATTTACTCGTCGAAAAATACGCTGTAAAATATTACCCTGTGTCTCAGTGCATTATTCTAAAACCATTCCCCGACGCCAAAAATAACCCCCCTCTGATAACAGCGTGTAAGACGAGCAAGAACTTACACAACTGGAAACGCAGGTTCTGATGGGGATGGTTCACGTACTGAGCCATAGAGAGAGGGGTTAGTCCTCCAGCCTAGGCGAGAATCATCACACAGATTCGTGGAGGGAGTTGAGGATGGCTGTTCCCGCAGAACTCATGTTGTTAATGATGGGGGTCGTCGGTGTGTACGTGTTCCCCGTAGGGGCAGGGGAGGTTTACACGTCGGTGGCCAAACTGAAGTTGTTGCCACGTATCGAGAAGAAACTGATTGATGCTTGTGATAGGTATCTTGACAGTCGGCCAGAAGACCCGGGATTACACAACATCAAAAGGTAAGGACGTTGTTTCAAGTGACACCAGGCTGTTGATATATTTCTAGCCCGAATATATTAACCTGGTTAATCCGGACAATTCTGAAATTGTAACTTCCAGATTTTGACACGTCTGTTTAAGTTCTCTTATCTTTCATACTCCATATTGATTAGTACGGAAACCCATTTATCTGGATAATCTTATATAAACAGGCTGGCTTAACGAGACGTATAGTATTTATCTATCAGCAGTTGAAATCCCTATCTGTTTATTTTCGATGTTGATGGTTAAGAAATGATTAACGGTCTTGAAGAACATATGAATTCAAATGAGAGATATTCACATGATACATGTACGTGTGTCAACCGAGACACTTATGTTTGGTTTCATACGTTGTAAAAGTAAAAGATTATGAAGTGATTAAATCAATTTAGGAAACATTCCGAATTTACGTCAAGCCGAGACTAATTTAAAGTTAATTCCATATATTAAAACGGTACCACATTATAGTATTTTTTTTATTACGTATAGCAATTTTCAGTTTGAATCCGGTTTAATTCAGAAATTATTCACTATTTATGTTGTAAACTGACCTGCAGTACCACAAGCATATATAATATAATAAGTATAATTCCTGTAGCAAATTTGAATGTCAATGATTATGAAGAGCAAATGTTGTTGTTGTTGATACGCCCTGAAACGTTTAGTATTGATAGTTAGGGAATTAAATATATTGTTGAGATAAAGTATGTGCAACAAATATGAGACAAGCATCACTGTTCAATTGTAAAGCACACATACGACACGTGGAGATAAAGATGTTAGTGGGGTATAGGATGTTCTTACAAAGTGCAGGGTAGGATAAGGGCTCTCTTTGGTCCTCGGGATCTGCATAACTTCATAAATGAACAAAACATTTAAACATCGCTGAGAAAATTATAAGATGTGTTAACCCAAATGAGAACGAGACTTCATTTTATTTAACACTTGTTTTTTACTGATGACAATACTAAATATATAGATAAAGCTAAAATATGTAATAAAATCCTAATTTTAGAGGCTTTCTGATTATTTGAACAAGAGTAAGACTTTGATTTTCTGATGAGATGTAGATAAAAATCATCACAAACGTATGGTAAAAGAATTCATCTTGGGACACATTTTGGCACAGTCTGCAGGGTTGGTTTTTTTAAAAACCTTTTTTTGAACATTTTTGTCATATTTATATATTTGACCACGTCAAAAACCTTTTAGTGTGAGATTATATTAAAAAGGAAAGTTACTATTGAAACAGATCTAATAACTTTAATGCTAATATTTCAAATTTGTCCTCAACAATTATATTAGACATTTCCAGTTGACAAACAAGAACCATTAAACTACGTCGTCCGTTTCATCATTTTCTAATTTCTCCTTTTTAATACTGTAACCCTCTTCAAGGTACTCATACAGCATTGATATTGGTATAGTCATTACTTTAATGTAATATGTGTGTGTGTGTGTGTGTGTGTGTGTGTGTGTGTGTGTGTGTGTGTGTGTGTGTGTGTGTGTGTGTGTGTGTGTGTGTGTGTGTGTGTGTGTGTGTGTGTGTGTGTGTGTGTGTGTGTGTGTGTCAGATTATCCTATTGATGTAAGGATATGCGTGTAGCGTCTACCCTGGCTGTGTATTGGTGTATTGTCAGATAATCCTATTGATGTAAGGATATGTGGGTAGCGTCTATCGGGGCTGTGTATTGGTGTATTGTCAGATAATCCTATTGCTGTAAGGATATGCGGGTAGCTTCTATCGGGCTGTGTATTGGTTTATTGTCAGATAATCCTATTGCTGTAAGAATATGCGGGTAGCGTCTATCGGGGCTGTGTATTGGTGTATTGTCAGATTATCCAATTGGTGTAAGGGTATGCGGGTAGCTTCTATCGGGGCTGTGTATTGGTGTATTGTCAGATAATCCTATTGCTGTAAGGATATGCGGGTAGTGTCTATCGGGGCTGTGTATTGATGTATTGTCAGATGATCCAATTGGTGTAAGGGTATGCGGGTAGCTTCTATCGGGGCTGTGTATTGGTGTATTGTCAGATAATCCTATTGATGTAAGGATTTGCGGGTAGCGTCTATCGGGGATGTGTATTGGTATATTGTCAGATTATCCTATTGGTGTAAGGGTATACGGGTAGCGTCTATCGAGGATGTGTTTTGGTGAATCATCAGATAATCGTACTGATGTCAGAGTATACGGGTAGCGCCTATCGGGTCTCTGAACGACAGATAATCCTATTGATGTAAGAATCTCCGAGTTGTGTACCGGTGTATTGAAAGATAATCATGTTTATGTAGCTTGGATTACTATCGCCTTCACTGTTCCCGTCAAGCTGGATATATATGTACATTTGCATAGCATTTGTATGGCATTTCTTTATTTCTTTTCATTGGTTGGAGTATTAATGTTCAATGATTTAATGATTTAGTGATGCCTTATCTCAATTAACGATGCCACACAGCCAGTTATTCTGACTGTACAAACCTTAGCGGAACTAATGCTTGCATCAAATATTAATTCGCTCTCAGGGATTGTCATCCTTATTGATCATACTTATTATTAAAGTGATTGTTGGGGACGCTGTTATCATATTACCTCTGTTTATGAAAGTGAGAATGTATATTTCTTTATGCCGCATTAGCAGTTATGCTTATTAATGTCGCTTATGTTTAATTGTCGTCGATTTGCTGAATATTCATAACGAATCAGACTGGTGTTTCTGGTACATTATATCACAGTGGGGTTGAGTAAAATTGATCTTCTGTTGGTGTCACTTAACTGCGATAATTCTGTGAATTTTTATTTTTTTTAAATGTTTAATAATTTAAATATTGATGTTGATATTTACTGATTTCACAAACTAGTTCTGCACGAACTGATTTCTTGGTAAATCTTTGCGTTTCGATTTGGAAATCACCTTATCACAATGCACACGTTCCTTCGTGAGTAAAATAATTTTGAACGAGACGTTAAACACAGAACATAGAGGATTTCTGGGGTAATTTACTGGGTAAAACATTCGCCAGTCACGCCGAAGATCCGGGTTCGATTCCCCACATGGATACAACGTGTGAACCAGCGTGTTTGTGGTTTGTGTGTGTGTGTGTGTGTGCGTGTGTGTGTGTGAGTGAGTGAGTGAGTGAGTGAGTGAGTGAGTGAGTGAGTGAGTGCGTGCCTGCGTGCCTGCGTGCATGCGTGCGTGCGTGCCTGCGTGCCTGCGTGCCTGCGTGCCTGCGTGCTTGAACTAGTCCAGACTAATTTTATTGTATATAGCTAGCCCACTGAGATACCATGCCGCAGTTTAACATGAATACCCCACTCAGGCACAGTATACTGACTCCGAGAGGACCAGTCCATGTTTTAGACAGGGTAACAAGAAGTACCATCTTTTAACGTATTTTGGTATGATCCGGCAGGACTCGAACCTCCACCTTCCGCTCTTCGGACAGACGCTCTACCACTAGATCACCGAGGCGGTCGCACGTCATTCCGATGAGTCGCAGACCAACCTTAACTCACTGAGGTTGAAATGTATTTTGTAATTATTTTTTTTTTAAAGGAATTAAAACTCGTCTAAAATTTATTGTGGAAGTTATTTACAGAGACAAGATTATTAACAGATTTTTTTAAACAAAAACGCTGCTTATTTAGCGTCTACCTTAATAGTGCAAGGATTGAAGTAGCAGTGAAATCCCACTTGCATTGTGTATAACCAATTCCATTAGCCATCGCTAAAAGCGGTTTGTTTGTTGAAATGGCTGATCCCCGCCGAACAAGGGGGGATGCTTTGCTGCAGTTATGGTAGACAGGTTACCATTGTCCCGGAATCGATTTCAAAAGCGATAATCAACAAAATCGGATATTATAATTGATAAATTCCATAAATGCCGGGGAATGTACAATGGTACGATGCCTGCGAATTTCAGGAGCGAGTATCGAGTTTGCGTACCGTGTGCGTTTCATCCGAGCCGTATTGCGCTCGGTTGTCTCCAGTATTGATGTTCTATCTAAATTATTTCACATCATGACACACCAGCTCCTTCTCCGCTGACAATGTATTTAACTGGACGTTCTAGGGTGCACACAATACACAGATTCAATAACTCGATATATCCATAACACAGTGATTACCAGGTGAAAGTATTTATCGATAAACTGTGTCCCTCTCGCAAAGAAGGATGATTTCCAATTCTCATTTGGCGCAAGATTACCCATGCAAAAAAAATGGTATTAGAATCAGATAATGACCATTTTGTGCGAGCTGCCGTCTTTTAAATGATTTTCAATTTATAACACGCAGTTTTTGTAAAAGAATTCTGATATGTTATACAAAAAATGACTGTTAGGCAGCCAGAAATGCAAAATGAAATTGTTTGTAATCAGATTATCGTTAACACTCCACTCCCTGATCGTATGTTGAGCTGATAATGTCTCGAGAAGTCGATGTCTTAGCCATGTAAGGCATCCGCCAGATAGTGATCAAGGATGGGCCATGAATAAAGGCCTGAGTCAGGGAGTATTGGAGAGCTGTGTGAGGAGTCGGGTACTCTGGGTAGTGATGAAGGGCAATGTTTCAGGATGAAGGGTGTTTCTCAGAAAACTCTCTTGGGTCATAACATATTTACCAATTTACACCCTCTGTTACCCATCACTCATTACACATTTACCGATTTACATCCTCCGTTACACATCCTCCGTTACCTATCCACCGTTACCCATCACTCATTACACATTTACAAATTTACATCCTCCGTTAACACATCCTCCGTTACCAATCCCCTGGTACCCATTTGCCGACATCCATTCACCGATACCCATCCACCGATACCCATCCACCGATATCCATAACCGATATCCATAACCGATATCTATCCACCGATACCCATAACCGATGTCTATCCACCGAAGTCTTGAATAGTGATGAAGGCTGTCTCTCAGATAACTTTGGGGATTGATGAAACGTGTCTACCAGATGGTCTTGA